AACAACAACAACAAAATATTTTTCTGGTATTCTATCCTTCAGTCTGTACTTATCTGCTGTCAATAGTAAATCTTATTCTAAGTCCACTTCCAATCCCAGCTTAAATTTATCTAAGTTCTCTATCAATGTACTTATTCCAGACATTATTAAATTACCATCAACAAATGATATTGCTTGGCAATTACTATATTCTAGTTGATCACCTTTGTTTTGAATGGGCACATATGTTAATCTCTTCCAATTGAATGAGCAAATAGTTTTCTTCCAAGTTTCTTGACATAGATAAGTGACACATTCAGTGTGACATTCATTTGTTGCAACATCTCAACTCATACTCTGCTTTTTATAAATGCCTTCAATGCATCTTAGACTTGTTCCTTCTTCAATATCATCAGTTCTTGATTATATCCTGCTTTCTGGTTGAGCGCTGGCCAATTTTTGGTTTTGTACTCTGGGCATTCTTTCCATCTTCTTTTGATGCTTCCTGCATCAATCAATATTTTGTTCATATAATATTTCAATATTGCAACTCTTGAGTTTGTTCCTCTGTTCTTACAGTTGAGAAATGCCAAGGATGTGCCTCTCTTTTAATTTTCTAACTCCAGATCTTTGCATATTTCATTATATACTTTGCTTTGCCTCCTAGATTCACATTTTTGAAACATCTGTTCAGTTCTTATATGTTATTGCTGTGTGCCATTGAGTAAATATTAATGCAGAACAATCCCAGATGGCAGAGTGACCTCATGAGGCAGAGATCTCAGAAGACTTTCCCAGAGAGTTTTCTAGGCTGTAATCCTTACAAGAGCAGTTCTTTCTCCTCCAGAGTTGCTGGGTGGGCCTAAACCAACAACATTTCAGTTAATGATTAAGCATATTAGTGCTTAATCATTGAATCAACTGAGTTCCATGCATGGTTACAATACATACATACACACTCACACACATATGCATATACATACACACAATAGTCATCAATGAAACCTTTACTCTTGACTCATGGTGACCCTATATGTACTGGAATAGAATTGCCTTTCATATGGCATTCAAAGACTAATATTTGGAAGTAGATTGCCAGGCATTTTTTTTCAATGGACTCAAATTAGATTATCAGCCAAGCACATTAACATTATGGACCAACCAGGAAACACACATAATATAACATTGCACTTAAGAATTAGGTTTCACTTCCTTAGTTTGAGCGCTAATATTTTCAATCACCAAGCTTTCCTAGTCTTTAGTTTCTCTACTGCATAATAATTGAGGGGGGCAGATTAAAAGGGCTGCAGATGAACCCCAAGGACAGAGGTAACTTATCCTGTCCTGACTGTTGGACTTTGCACAGGTAGAGTTGGTTAGCAGTGCAGAGGAGGCAAGAATAGAAGCAAAGGGTGAACATCACACCCAGGCTGTGGGCTGCCTCTTCCTGGGGGTTGTAATATGAGTGCAGGGCCCTGTGGAGACCTGACTTACCTACTGGCTCATCTGCTGCTTTCTATGAATGGTCTTGTCTTACAGATTGTTTCTACACTGTGTGCTGCTTTCTGGCTCGAGAGACCGACTCTGTGTTGTTAGCAGTTGGGTGAGTTGGATAAGGCTGGTGGGTTTAAAAATGGGTGAGAGAAGGTGAAGTGGATTATCTGTACAACAGAGAGAGGTGCTCCGAGACCTGGAAGGAGTGCTTGCATCTGTAGCCTGGACAGGACTCATGTTTCTGTTCACATTAGCAGAAACATGGAAACCCAAATACCATCAACAGGGAGTGCATGGAGAAATCCTAGCATATTTGATTTTTATCTAATCAAAATATTATGTGCTCTGGTAGCTTATTGTTAAGGACTTGCACTGCCAATGTAAAGGCATGTGATTCAAATCCACCAGCTACTCTGTGGTGGAAAGATGAGCAATCTCCTCTTACGTGATTTGTTGTTGTTAGGTGTCTTCAAGTACAAATCAGAGCAACCCTATGAACAAAAGAGCTGAGCCCTGTCCTATCCTGTACCATCCTCATACTTTTTGACACACAAGGGCAGTCACCATATCAATCCACCTGGTTGAGGATCTGTCTCTTCTTTGCTGACCCTCCACCTTTCCTAACATCATGTACCTCTCCAAGGAATAAACCCCTCCTAGAAATATGCCCAAAATATGTGAGGCAAAGCTTCATCATTCTTGCCTCCAAAGAGCACTCCGGCTGCATCCTCTCCAAGACATGTCTGTTTGTTCTCTCTTGGCTGTCCATGGTATGTTCAGTGGTTTTCCCATGTACTTTGCTGTTGTTGTTGTTTTAAGTGCCTTCAAGTTGTAGACAATTCATAACAACCCTATGAACGAAAGACCTGAACACTTGTATAACTTTCATTTGTCCAAGTTCATAGAGTTTCCAGAGGCAAGCTAATTTGGAAGTGGATGCCACTCTTGCTTCCAAGCTTGTTTTAATCAGGAAGCTCCACCAAACACTGTCCACCACGGTGACCATTATCGCATTTGACACAACATCAAGTTACAGTGTTCAACATCACAGCAACCACAAGTTACCACTGTATAGCAAATGGACAGACCAGTGCTATACAGCTTAGATGAATGTTTAACCAAAAACAATTAAAACAAGGCCTGAGGGCTGCAGATTAAAATCACCCACAATTTACAGTCTCTGAAAACCCACAGAAGGTTAGCTGTGAATCGTTTCCAACTTGACAGTACACAATAAGAACAACAACAACATGTGGCTGTTAAATTAACTGCAAGGACACACCATAGTATAAATTAATTAGCCAATTGCCATGAAGTCAGAGTAAAACTGTGCTCCATTGAATTTTCAATGGCTAAGTGTTCTTTATAAGAGGGATTGCCCCAAGTGGACCCGAATTGCCACCATTTCAGTTAGAAGCTATACATTCGTGTAACTATTTGCACATCTGGAACTCTGAATGGATTTTATCACTATCAAATTTAAGTGGAAACAAACTTCAGAAAATTAACTACAGCCAATAATCTTTTGGGAAAATTTAAAAAATCCAATAAAAAAATTGCTAGTGAAACTATACAAAAAAGGAATAATGGTTGCAAAATAATTTTACTAAGATGGGGCAGGCAGACAGACCAAATGATTGGCATTATGCAGCAAGGTAAGGTGATTATCAGAGTGTTTATTGTTGTTTGGAAGTGATAGTTCTGTTCTTGTTGTTGTTAAGCGCCATTGAATCAAGTACAACTCATAGCAATGGTCTTTAGGTGCTATTATTTATTATTATTATTATTATTTAAAATGTCATTCTGTATATTAATTTAATATCATTATTAAAAGTCCCTAATTCAAACTAATAATGCCAGCCTTGCAGGGAGTGACAATGAGTGTGCCCCAAGATACAACTTGGTGGCCCGAGGTCCTTTGCACACAAAAGAGGCTGTGGAGGGAGAAGGGTCAGTGGGGCCATTTCCTGTGATTCTAGTTACTGCTCCAAGAGATCACATGTCATTGGCAGGTAGTGTCACATCATTTGTGACACACATACATGCCACATCATTTATCCAGTCACTTGTCGTTGGACACTTGGCTTGTTCATGGTGAACATCACTACAATATCCCCTTGGCTGAGCATCTTGTACGGCTCAGCTGTGGCCTAAAGCAAGTCACTTAGAATCTCTGTTCCTCCTTGATGAGAAGGAAGAAGGGGACATCTCCCAAACACTCATTAACATGTGTCCCATCTGCCTTACCATTGTGTCTGACCTTCCATCACTGGAGTTGCCTTCAGATTCCACATCTCTGAAGGTATGTGTGATGATTAAAATAATAATAATAAAAATAGCAAAGTTTAACAGGTAACAAACACAGGTCACAGGTGACTCAATGACATATAACTCCAATAACATACTATGACAGGTTTAGAAGTAGGAGTGGCATCCACTTCCTAAATAACATTCCTCCAGACACTCTATGAACTTTGATAAATGTCAACAGTTGTAGAGAGGCTTCAGGCCTTTTGTTCATAGGGTCACTATGAGTCGTGCTTGACTCAAAAGCCATCATCAAACATAAAAACAAACACAGGTATTAATAAGTACCTGAATTAATACCTGGTAGGAAATTTCTTTTGATACACAGTTAGTTCACAAGACCTTCCCTGTGGGAAAAGTAAGCTATTATTCTGTTTTAATTTCATGGTAATAAAGTAGATATAACAAAAGTTTTTCTTTTCTTTTTAACTGTTTTGAAGTGTACAGTTGAGTAACATTTATTGCAGTCATGATGTTGTTCTTGGCATAGGATTCCTGGTGGCACAGTGTTTGAGCGCGCAGGTGCCAATCAAAAGTGTGACCTTTCAGTCCCTACAGCCACACCCTGGGTAAAACTTGTATCCATTTGCTTCTATAAAAATTGCAGCCTTGGAAACCCTCTTGGGTCATTCCCCTCTGTCCTATAGGGTCAATATGAGTCAGAATCAAGCTGCTAGTGTGGGGTTTATGTTGTGATATTATCATCACCATTATTTCTGAAAGGATTTTATCCCACCAATAAGAAGGTATACTATAATAGAATTTTCACATTTTCTGCCTTTTAGTCTCTGATAACCACTATTATTTTGCAAGTCTAGGCATTTCATGTAGGCAGGGTCATACACTCATTTTATCGCTGTCAGGCCAGAACCATCTCATAGCTGACCCTTAAATGGGTTTCCATGACTATAAATTGCACAGGAAGAGATTGCCTATCTTCTCCCAAAGTGGATTTGAGTCTCCAGCGAGGCTCAATCTTAACAGCATAACTCCCTGAAGATGAGGCCTCCAGAGCTTCCTGGGATCATATAATATTTGTCTTTTTTCTGGTTTATTTCACTAGCATGTTTTCTCAATTAATCTTTGGTATAGTAATGCATCATAGCTTCAGGTTTTTTTATGTACTTCATTGTATGTTTCTGTCAGATCATTTATCCAGTCACCTGTTGACGGACACTTGGGTTGTTTATGGGAACAGCATTAGGATTACTTGGGGTACAGGTATGTGTGTTTGAATACCTGATTTCAAGTCTCTTGGGTATATACTTAAGAGCAGAATTGTCAGTTTATATACTAAGTCTATGGGGCTAAATAAGATCTGTGATAAGAGAGTGAGTGGTGGGGTCAGAAATTCAAGTAAGGGGTTTCTAGATAACAGAAGGCTGAGATAGAACAGTGTATCTAGGAGCAGACTCCTTGAGAGAAGCTGAGAAAATATGTTTTAAAGTCTAGATATTCCCTGCTTTACTTGTAACCCTGTGGTTATTCAAGACCTTGAATGGAACTGTCTACACAAGTTACTGAGGTAGATTGAAAGGAATGTCTTTTAACCTTTTGGTTATACAAAGCATTCACCTCTGGGTGGGAAAGGGAAGAATTCAGAAGGGGAAAGTGGACATTTCTGCCTTTTTCAAGCAAATTCGGGATTTTGGTAATATGAAGCAAATAATGTTTGTTGTTTCTTTTATAATGTCAGATGTATGCATTTAACATTTAAGCAAAGGGTATTCACTTAAAGTGGAAAAATAGAAGCAGAAATGTGTACTTGTCACTCTAAGTTCTGAGGCCAGCTCAAAGCAAAAACTCATATAAGTATCATGTGTTTTGCCTAAGTTTAACTGTTAATCCAAATTAATAATATCTCTCTTGGGTTAAATGCTTGTCTGTTAAATATTGTTCTAAAGGTGAACACTCAAGCTAACACAGACTAGGGAGAAAGATTGACCATCCACTTTTGAAATAACAGGCCTTCAAAAACTCTATGTACGACAAATCACACTTAGATTAGACTAGGAGATAGAGCACCGGAGGATGAACCTTCATGTTGGGAACCATAAAGGAGAAGGAACAGTTGCAAACAAACCCTAATGATTGGAATGTGGAACGTGAGAAGTATAAACGTGGGAAAACTGGAGATTGTTAAGGGAGAAATGGAGTACATAAACAGTGACATACAGTGTATTGGCGAAAAATGAATTGTCATGGGACATTTTTAATTAGGCAATCATGATCTACTATGCTGGAAATGAAAAGGTGGAAAAAAGGGGTTGCATTAGTAGTTAAAAAGGCCATTTGAAAGACAATGTTGTGAGTGACAGGATAATACCCATATGCATAAATGGAAGACCTGTTAATACCATTATCATTCAAATTTATGCACCAATAATCAGAGCCAAAGAGGAACCAACTGTTGCAGTAGGAAATCAATAAAACATACAACCAGGATGTACTAATAATAATGCATGACTGGAACACAAAAGTTGAGAATGGAAAAGAAGGATCAATAAGTCAGAAACATGGGCTTGGTGACAGAATGATTTCTTCATTGTAAATACCTTTTATAAGAAAAACACAAACAGCGGCTATATACATGGACCTCACTTGATGTCCTACACAGGAATCAGATTGATTACAACTCAGGGGGTTGAGGTGGGTGGGGAAATCACTGGAGAAGCTCAATATCAGCTGTGAAAACTAGGCCAGGTGCTGATTGTGGATCAGATCATCAACTAATTGTGTGCAAGTTCAAACTGAAACTAAAGAAAATCAAATCAAATCCACAAGAACTTGAGTCTATCCCTCCTGAATTTAAAGACCATCTCAGAACAGGTTGGAGGCCTTTAATACTAATGAGCTTTAATACTAGGCGAGATGTGAAAGGATATCAAGAATATCACCCATGAAGAACACAAAAGGTCATTACAAAGATGAAGGAAGAAGAAAAGACCAAAATGGATGTAAGAAGAGACTCTAAATATTGCACTAGCATGCCAAGAAGCCAAAGCAGAGGGAAGAAATCAAGATGTTAAGGAGCTGAACAGAAGATTCCAAAGGATAGCAGAGAGAAACAAAGCAATATATTATAGTGAAATATGCAAAGAGCAGGAGCTGGAAAATCAAAAGGTGCAAACTCGCTCAGCATTTCTTAAGCTGAAGGAACTGAAGAACAAATTCAAGCCTCGAGTTGCAATACTTGAGGGTCTGGGGGCAGAATATTGAATGGCCAAGGAAGAATCAAAAGAAAATGGAAGGATTCTTAAAAACAATGTATTCAAGTTTTGTAAATAAACTAGTAGAAATATTTTTTAAATTGTTTCAAAAAAGACCAACCCCAAAAAAAAAATTTAAAAAAAAAAAGAAGGAGTACATAGAGGGACTATACCGAAAAGAATTGGCTAACACAGAAGAATTGAATGAAACAACATATGATCAAGAACCTATGGTGATGAAAGAGAAGGCTCAAGCTGCTATGAAGGAATTGGCAAAAATACAAAGCCCCAGGAATTGAGAGCATACCAGCTGAGATATATCAACAAACAGATGCTGCTCTGGTTGTACACACCAGGTTGTGCCAAGAAATCTGGGGATCAACCACCTGACCAATTGACTGGGAGAGATCTATACTTGTTCTGATTCCCAAAAAAATGTGACCCAACAGAGTGTGTAAATTAGGGGAGCTCTGGTGGCCTAGTGGCAAGAAACTGCACTGCAATCCCAGAGGAACATGGTTCGAATCCACCAGACGCTCTGCCGGAGAAGGAGGCGCAATATCCTCCTGTACCAGTCAGATCTGATTTGACGGTACACGTACACAAAATAAAAAAATAAAAAAAAACAGAGTGTGTAAATTATCAAACACTATCATTAATATCATATGCAAGCAAACTCCTGCTGAAGATTATCATAAAATGACTGGAACAGCACATCATCAAAGAACTTCCAGGTGTACAGGCTGTATTTAGAAGAGGCCATGGCACTAGGGATATTATAGCCAATATTAGATGGATCTTAGCTGAAAGCAGAGAGTACCAGAGGATTGTCTGTGTTTCATTGACTATGCAAAGATATTTGATTGTGTGGATCTCAACAAACTGTGGCTAACTCAGAGAAATGGGAATCTCAGAATACTTAATTGTGCTTATGTGAAACCTATACTATACCAAGTGGCAGTCCTCAAAACAGAGGTACATGGTTCAAAATCAGGAAAGTTATATGCCAGGGATGCATCCTATCTGCACATTTTTTAAGTCTATATGTAGAATAGATCATCGGGGAGACTGGACTCTATGAGGAGGAATGTGGTATCAGGATTGGAAGACTCATCAACAATCTGTATTATGTAGATGGCACAACCTTGCTTGCTGAAACTGAGGAGGACCTGAGGCATTTGCTGCAGAAGGTCAGGAACTGAAGCCTTCAATATGGATTGAAGTTCAACATCAAGAAAACAAAGATTCTCACCACTGGGCCAATTTGCAGCATCATGATAGATGGTGACGAGATCGAGATTGTTAACAGCTCCAGCTTACATGGCTCCACAATCAACACTCTTGGTAGTATCAGCCAAAAAATAAAAAAATGAATTGCACTGGGAAAAGCTACTGTCAAGGACCTCTCCAGAGTACTGAAGAGCAATGATGTCAGTCTGAAGACTAAGGTGTGCCTGATCCAGGCCATGGTCTTTGCAATTACTTGCTATGCATCAGAGAGCTAGATGATGACTAAGAATGATAGAAGAATCAATGCCTTTAGGTTGTAGTGCTCAAGAAGAATATTGAATATATCATGGACTGCTAGGAGAACAAACAGATTTTTACTGGAGAGAGTGAAACCAGGCTGCTCCTTGGAGGCAAGGATGTTGAAGCTCTGTTTGACATATTTGGGGCATGTTGTAAGAAGGTTTTAGTCCTTGAAGAGGGGCATCATGCTTGGAAGGGTTGTGGGACAGCACAAGAGAGGAAAACCCTGCATGAGATGAATTGACTCAGGGACTGGAGAAATAGGGGTAGGTATATCAGAGACAATGAAGTTGGCTCAAGATAGAGCAAGGTTCAGGGCTGTTGTGCATGGTGTCACTGTAAGTTGCAAGTGACTCAACAGCACATAACAACAAAAATGTATCAATATGCTGTCCATCAAGAAAATACTGTGAAGCAAAATACTATCAATGGAACGATATCTTTAAAAACCTGTGGCATAATCTATAGAAAGTTGTGTTGCTAATCCAAAGGCCATGCATCTCCAGCAGTTCAAATCTACCAGCAGTTCCATGGGAGAGTTATGGGCAATCTCTCCCTTGCCTTTTACAATTTCTGAAATTCACTCAATAGCAGTGAATTTGAATTTGGGGGGTTTTAAGAGCCAATTTTAAAAGAAATAAAATTCAAAGTCTGAAAGAAGGCAGTGGCTTTCAGACTGTTCCTCAAAGAACTAGGTTGCCCTGCAGTGTCTAAGAGACAGCCCTGGAAATTAAGAAAAATGGAGAGTGAGGTTTCAGGATCTTTACCATAGGATAAAAGCAGAAAGCTGCACTTACTTTATACAGTAGAGCTCCTTATTTTCCTAGAAATATGCATTTTGTTGCTCTAATAAAGTTAGAAAACCACTAGACTAAAATATCATCTTTCCTTATTTCTTTCAAACTGAATATCACAAGTCTTACATCTTAGGCTTTTAAATTCTCGAATGTATGGGCAGGTGCAAGACAATAACAATCTCAAGCCATGCTTTCAGCACAGTATTTTTTAAAACAGACTAATTCCAGCTATTTAGCCAGTGTCCCTTTGATAAATGCTTTCCTTTTCTGTTATTCCAACAGCAAGCACTAAAGTTCACAGTAGTCCACTTTTAAGTTCTTGTTCTCTGCTTTCAACTCTTGGGATAAGAATTATTTAGAGATCAGAAAGACCAGGTTAGATCAAACTCTCCTCGAGACCCTTTCAGCACTCCTTGCCAGGTGAGTCTTCTACAGCTTGAACCTATTACTTGATTGTTGTTGTTGATGGCCATCAAGTAGAATATACGACTCATAATGACCCTATGAAAAAAAGCCTGAAGCCTTTCTATGACTCTGGACATTTATCAAAGTTCAGAGTTTCCAGAGGCATGTTGTTTAGGGAGAGGATGCCACTCCTGCTTCCAAATTACTTGAGTAGCTTTCCTTTATTACACCTTTTCCTTCACAGTCCCTCCCACCTCCTCTGCTACTCTCCTGCCTTGAGATAAGAGGCTTTAAAAAAAAAATTAGAAACCAGAAACTTCCCTTAAACTTTCATTTTTTTCATCCCATTCTCTACTAATGACAGTGAATCTCATGCTAGTTTATATGGCCTCTCTGTAACTGCTGCCTGGTTTGCTTCCAATGCAAAAACCCCTTTAAAGATGCTTCATTTTACCCAGAGTTTATGCATACAAAGGAAACAGCATAGTTTGGGGGCTCAAGCATTCCTGTCTGTCTGGTTCCTCACTTTCTTATACCTGAAAACGTGGGATAAAATCATCTACTCATGCCGCTGTTATGAGAAGTTCATGAAATGCAGATTGGGAAGGTGAGTCAAACACAAAGCTCAAGGTGCCTCCTAGCAGCATCTATTCACATTGGCTTGATTTTGTTTCTTACTTCCTCCTCAGATACCGCATGTATCCTGACCACGGCGTCCTTACCATGGGGCAAGACTCTTTAAATGCCTCTGTTTACTTTATGAAGAACCTGAAAAACTATGGGGTAGATCCCAACCGGGTTTTGGTCTGTGGAGAAAGCATCGGAGGCACACTTGCTACTGTCATAGCACAGGCCTTTGTGAATAAGTCACCTTTTCTCCCCGATTCCTTCATGGATCTATCTGATCTTCCCCGGATCCGAGCACAGATCCTTATCTATCCGTTTCTCCAGGCGCTCAATTTTCAGCTACCATCCCATCAGCAGAACCAAAATATCCCGTTCCTCAAGCGGAAGCTTATACTAAATTATACGTGCAGCATTATGGACATTAACCAGACCTGGAAGGATGCCATTTGGAAGGGTGAGTTCGTTCCCCCGGAAATCTGGAAGAAGTACCAGAAGTGGCTCAGTGATGAGAACATACCCAAGAAGTTCAAGAAGAGGAACTACCGACCGGTGACTCACAGGACTTTTAATGAGGCTGCCTATCTGGAGGCCTCGAGACTTTGCCATGTAAAACACTCACCCTTAACAGCAGATGATGAGGTCATCGCTCAACTTCCAGAGACCTTCATTTTGAGCTGTGAATATGACCTAGTCCGAGATGACTCCATCCTCTACAAGAAGAGACTGGAGGACCACGGGGTCCCTGTGACGTGGTACCACGTGGAGGATGGCTTCCATGCATCCCTAATCTTGTTCGATAAGAAGCCTTTTTCTTTCCCGTGCTCTGTGGAAATTATGAATGCTGTGGTCAGTTACATAAAGGGCATTCACTAGTAACCCTGGGGCCCAGAGATGGACGTGGCAAGTATGGAACCTACCAAAAGCAGGCCTCATAGGAGTTTGCTTTTACTACTTGAGAAGAAGCCAAGTCATTCATTGCTTGGCCCTAGAAGGCTGTATCAATTACAGTTTCTGTGGGGGGCGGGGGTGGGGGGGGTCTGAGCACAGCTGAGTTAGGTTCCTATCTGCTATCCAGTGAGTCATGAATGCATTTCTTCAATGAGGTCTTGATTATTTCAGCCCTAAGAATAGTGGCTGTTTCTTCTTTTTAAGATTCTTATATTCTTTAGAGTTGTCTATCTCCTACCAGCCAACCCTTTGTTGCTGCAATCATCTGCTATAGTTATTATTTATAGTAAACTTGTTATGTTCAAAATTCTGTGTGCTTTTGGCCTCTTGATTTTACTCTGATTGATGGAGAACTGGTACCAGAAGTCGAGTGGTTCCAAAAATCTAAAATATTTGTAAGATGGGATTTGGGGTGACTTGATCATATCTTTGGATTTGAATGCAATACTGGGCTCCTTCCCAACAGAAAATGAGATGCTACTACCTATGTCATACAGTGAAATCACATTTAAACTACCACCTATAACTAACTGTGATAAAGTATCAACTCAAAGACATGAGAAGAGTGCGCTCCTTGGAGGCAAGAATGGCAAAGCTTCATCTCACATACTTTGGGGATACTGCTAGGATAGGCTATCCTTGGAGAAGGACAGAATGCTTGGGAAGATGTGGGGGAAGACGAAGGAGAGGAAGATCTTCAACCAGGTGCATTGACACAGCAATGGCAGCAATGAGCCCAAGTGTGTCAGAGATTGGGAGGCTGGCACAGGATTCAGGTCTCGTTTATGGGGTCGCTATGAATCATATTCCACTTGAGGGCACCTAATAAGAACAACAAAGGACATGTGCTGTGACCCCAAGTGGTTGCTTTTGTTACCCATTATTTCAGTAACAATGACTATAAAGACTTATATGGGGCAATTTCTTTTTTTTTAATATTTCACTATATTAAATTTTATTTTTTCTAAAAAAATTACCTAACACCAGACTATTTTTATATCCATTAATTTATGAGAGCATTCCTTTTTGCAGAACACACGTTGGCATTTAAATTGAAATAATTTAAAGAACTGTGATGGCTATCTACAAAAAAAAATCAGTTGATTGTTACATTCCTCCCATACTTTATCTCCACAAGTAAAATTTGTAAAACATTTTATATTCAGCTTTTAAAAAAAATACTTTGTTTTCCACTGGTATGTTTTTTACAAAGGACTTAAGGTTTCAAATATTTTTTTTTTTAAAAAAAGAAGGTACTAGTTTAAATTTGCTATTAAAATTTTAATAGAATTTTTATATAGAAAAAATTGAGATGTAAGCATGTAAGCAACTTCCCTTATTGTCATATGCCTGCACTTGGGAAAAACTATAACTATTTTACAGAAAAATCCTAGTACATTAATTGCCATAAGCATAAAACAATGTTAAAAAAGATCAGTGTGAATTGCACACAAAAAATAATTAAAGGGAATTCTTGATCATGAAGCAGGTGCAGGAAGATCCAGGTCTTAGAGCTTTGCTCTCTGGAAGAATGCCTTTAAAGAATTTTTTTTTAAACTTTAGCATCAGGCTGCTGAAGTGCTAGATAAAATTCTTGAATTATCTGGTGCCACCTACAGCGAGGACAGGTGTTGTTGCTGAAGATGTTGAACACATTCTGGGACCCCTGTGAGATGAATTGTTTTCAGTGTCACTGCACACTTGAATAAAGCCAATATTGTCTGTGCATCTGCCAAATCAAAGGTTTTGAAGGTGCTAGGAAACATGCCACAGCTTTGTTATGGTTAATTGAAATATTCAGATGAATACAAGAGGTTGAAAACTCATTAGTATTTCATTAGAGATTTGAATAGAGTTAGGAAATCCTAAGAGTAGGTTTTTTCCTAATATACTATGGGAAGCCAAATTTCATACTAAATATTAGTAATAAACCAAATGCTACTTCAGATTATGAGGGAGGCTGATACAAACTGGAATTCACCCTGAAGCACTAAGGCAATCCTTAAATGTTTGCAGGGGTAGACACTAAGGCAATCCTTAAGCATTTACAGGATTCTTGCACTGTATTTGCTAACCCCTCCTTCCTGAGTCAAGCTGAAGGTTTTCAATAGAAAGAGTTTCGCTTCATTTGCATAGAATTCTCTTGGTGATTTGCTCCCTGGCAATTTTCAATAAAGACAAACGGAAGCTAAGGACCAGTGCTTCAGTTTGCTACAGTTGTTCAAGAACTGTTTGCCTCCTATTCGCCTCCTGCTTTACCTGGTTTTTCCTACATCCTTGGTGTTCTGTCTCTTTATTAATACTTATTAAAATACTTTACCCTCAGTCTGCAACAAAATACTGTTGTTGTTGTTGTTGTTATGTGCAGTCGAGTCGTTTCCAACTCATAGCAACAACAGCTCTAAACCCTGCTCTATCCTGCGCCAACCACACCGCCTCTGACACACCCATCCCGATTACCCCAGTCACCGAACCAATCCATCTCATAGAGGGTCTTCCCATCCTGCGCTGTCCCTCCACCCTCCCAAGCATGATGTCCCTCTCCAAGGACCCGTCCCTCCTGGCAACATGTCCAAAGTATGTCAGACGAAGCCCCAGAATCTTTGCCTCCAAGGAGTAGCTTGGTTTAATCCTCTCCAAGATGAATCTGTTTGTTTTCCTGGCAGTCCATGGTACATTCAGTACCCTTCTCCAGCACCACAGCTCAAAAGCATCCACTCTCCTTCTGTCCTCCCTAGTCATTGTCCAATTCTCTGATGCATAACTAGCGATTGCAAATACCATGACCTGTATTAGGCGCACCTTAGTCTCCAGAGAGACACTGTTGCTCCTGAGTACCTTTGAGAGGTCCCTAACAGCAGACTTTCCCATCGCGATACGCAATACTAGACTTTGAAAAATATTTTTGAAGAATTGATTTGTAATCAAACTTAATGCATGTGTATGGTGATACATTAATTACGGCATGCTGCAATAAGACATTAACTGAAATACAACAGAAAAATTAGGTTTTTGCATTCTGGAAACAGAAGATCTTAGTATCATCTGCTTCTAAGTATATGTAACCTCATTTGCACCCTGAAGTAATAGGGCAACTAAAGTGTGGATCATTTTTCACAACACACAGCTCTTCTAATACTGAGCTGCCCTAGCTCTGGTGGCCTTGTGGCACTGTGAACCAGAAGGCATGCAGTTCAAAGCCACCAGCTGCTCTGAAGGAGAAGGATGGGCAATCTCCTCTCGTGTGATTAACTGCTTCTGAAAACCCGCTGGAGGATCAGCTATGATTTTGTTTCGACCGTATGTATACAATAGGAAATGTACTTATAAAGGAAGTCAGCAAATCCCACTGGTCCATCTTTACCTCCCCAGAGTTCTATCAACTTTGAGAAGGTGATAAAACATGTTTTTTGTGCAATTGGATCTGGATATTCAATTGCCCCTGGAATAACAGGGACCAACACATGCTCTACATTCTCTGCACCTTGATTTGTTATGCCCTCACTTATTCCACTGCCTGTGGACTGTCTGCAAGAAAGGGAAATAATTCTTCAACATTTGCTTCTCTCATCATTATCTTCTGCTGGCTGGAGCAACTCATCAAAAACTGAATGAAGCAGAAGCATGAACATTTGTTGTAAAAACAAGGATTCCTATATCTTAAATTTGGCTGTAAACTGGTTGATAAGGGAAATGAACTCCTGGAGGTCTTTTCCTTTTTAAAAAAAATTTTTCAGCTTTTAAAAAAATTATTATTAATTTTAAT